ACCTTTCCAGTTTAGATGTTACTGGATAACTGTGGCTGTTTGTACCAGTGGTAATGGTTGTGACTTTGCTCATTTCATTGGGCACTGGAAAAAAATAGATTATAGGATTGTGCCTCATTTTGCCTTATTCTCCAGGTAGTTTCAATAGTATATTAAGAGCACAATGTCTTTTGGCATTTTCTTTCCACCTCCTGCCATTTTTATGTAATCAAAAAAGGTGGGCATTAAAAAAAAGATTTTATTTATTTTTAGACAGAGGGGAAGGGAGGGACAGAGAAGGAGAGAGACATTGTTGCGTGAGAGAGAAACAGTTACTTCTCTCGTGTCCCCAACTGGCGACTTGGCCTGCAACTCAGGCACGTACCCTGACTGGGAATTGAACCAGTGACCTTTTGGTTTGCAGGCCAGGGCTCAATCTATAAGTCACACCAGTCAGGGCAGGATTGGCATTTTTCAATGGCTTCTAGTTTTCTAGTGTTGCTTACAAAGAGCTCCCCTCCTAATTTTATACATTTACTTAAATTTTGTTCCAATACTTTTTAAAAATATGTTTTATTGATTATGCTATTAGTTATCCAATTTTTCCCCCTTCACTCCCCTCCACCCTGCACACCCTCTCCCACCCACATTCCCTCCCTTTAGTTCATGACCATGGGTCATACATATAAGTTCTTTGGCTTCTATTTTTCCCATACTATTCTTACCTTCCCCCTGTCTATTTCCTGCCTACCATCTATGCTACTTATTCCCTGTAACTTTTCCCCCCTCTCTACCCATCCCACCCCCACACTGACAACCCTTCATGGGAACTCTCCCGTGAGGCTTGGAGTTTCTCCCACTGCCGCAACCCCCACAGGTTTTTTCAATCAGTGGTTTGAAACTTTATTCCCACCCCCTTGCTGGGACCCTGGGTTGTGTGGTTTGTCCCACTACCCAGTTTTGTCTGGTTTATCTGTGCACGAATGTGGGCCCACCTGATCTGCCAGCTGCCTTGCACAAGGAGCCCTCTTCCACAATCCACCACCTTGCTGGGTCCGACAGCTGCAGCTTTGCTGCAAGCCCTCTCTCTCTGCCCTGGCTGCCCAACTCCAGCCCTCCTACCAGTCTGGATGTGTAGGAGACCATTCTGCGTGACCTGGGCCCAGCTCTCAATCAAGAGATGCACAGGATCCATGCCCGTGGATAGGTTCTTCTGTGGGGAATCAGGCCTGCAACATGCCTAGGCCACTTTGAGTCTTGCTTTTTGCTAAAAACTCCCTCATCCGGATTTGTAGCAAACATTTACTACATAATAACTTCCTAAAATTCATGCTAAACTTTCCTAGGGTCCAACCACTTTTCCCTTTTCATTTGCAAATATCCTTCTTCTGTGATGTGATTAGCAGCATAGCCTCCTTTGTTGTCTGGAAAAGGTAACCCCCTTAAGTGAACCTGTGCACAGTAAATGAGGACCATCATGTAATGTGCTAAGAAACCCAATAAAGGTCCATCATGGCAAGGGCCGAGGCTTTTGCTCCCCTTGAGAGAAAAACCATGCTGTCCCTTTTCCTCCACTGGACTCAGTAGTCTGTCTGTGTGAATGTCTCATTTCATCCATAATGATGCAGACACTGCAGGCTGGGGTCTGCATCATGGATGAAAGTGTCTTCTTTAACTCCTTGGTTGTCAGACTTCCACACAGTTTGACTTTCTGTCAGTTCTGGTTGTTTTTTGTTTTTAAATTGTTTTGCTTTTGGTTGTGCGAAGAGGCACAGTGTGTCTACCCACACCTCCGTCTTGGCTGGAAGTCTGTTTGAATATTTTTTAATAACAATGTTTATATTTAAGTAATTAACTCATTTTAAGTTTATTATTTCTGTATAGGGAATGAGATAACAGTCTGGCTTTGTTTTATTCCAAATGAATAACTGATTTATGGGCTATATTATATTTTGTTTCCTCCCAATGGAGTGAAATAAAAATTTTGTCACATGTTAAGTTCCTAACTATATCTGTATATATCTATATATATAGTTACTAACTATATCAGTGTATAGTCTACTCCACTTTTTAATTTCTCTTCTTGTGCTAATATCACACTAATTTGATTTGAGCTGATTTACAGTAAGTTATCTCTCATAATTTCTTTTTTTTTAAATTTTTTTATTGATTATGCTGTTACAGTTGTTCTATTCCCCCTTTATTCCCCTCCACCCTACCCCCATCCCCACCATCACTCCCCCTTTAGTTTATGACCATGTGTCTCAAGTCCTTTAGATTCTATATTTCCCATGCTATTCTTGCCCCCCAATCTATTTTCTATCTACTGTCTATGCTACTTATTTTCTGTACCTTCTCCCCCCTTCTCCTCCTCCCACTCCCCTGTTGCTAACCCTCCTTGAGATCTTCATTTCTATGTTTCCACTCCTGATCTAGCTGTCCTTTTAGTTTGCTTTCGTTTTAGGTGTGGTTGTTAATAACTGTGAGTTTGCTGTCCTTTCACTGTTCATGTTTCTTTAACTTCTTTTTCTTAGATAAGTCCCTTTCACATTTCATATAATAAGGGCTTGGTGATGATGAACTCCTTGAATTTGATCTTATCTGAGAAGCACCTTATCTGTCCTTCCATTCTAAATGAAAGTTTTGCTGGATAGAGCAATCTTGGTTGTAGGTCTTTAGATTTCATGACTTGGAATATCTCTTTCCAGCCCCTTCTTGCCTGTAAGGTCTCTTTTGAGAAATCAGCTGACAGTCTGATGGGGACTCCTTTGTAGGTGACTGTCCCCTTAGCTCTTGCTGCTTCTAGGATTCTCTCCTTCATTTTTATCTTGGCTAATGTAATTACGATGTGCCTTGGTGTGTTCCTTCTTGAGTCCAACTTCTTTGGTACTCTCTGAGCTTCCTGGATTTCCTGGAAGTCTATTTCCTTTGCCAGATTGGGGAAATTCTCCTTTATTATTTGTTCAAATAAGTTTTCCACTGGTGGCTGTGCCTTTCCCCCTTCTGGTACCCCTATAATTCGGATGTTGGAGTGTTTAAAGATGTCCTGGAGGTTCCTAAGACTCTCCTCATTTCTTTGAATTCTTGCTTCTTGACTCTTTTCTGTTTGGCCATTATTTGCTTTCTTCTGGTCCACTCCATTGATTTGAGTCCCAGTTTCCTTTTCATTGCTATTGGTGTCCTGTGCAATTCCATTCATTTCAATTAGTTTCGCCTTCATATATTTGTCTAATTTGTCCGTATAATCAACCAGTTCTATGAGGATCTTGATAACCAATGTTTTAAACTGTGCGTCTGTGAGATTTGCTATTTCTTCATCGCTTAGATTTATTTCTGGGGCTCTGAGATTCTCCTGCGCCATTCTTGGTCTGTTCGGGCCCTTTAAGAAGTGGTGCCTTGGATTCCCAGGTGGGTGGGTTGTGACGCTGTATGTGGGGGCGTGGCCCGAGCGGGGAAATGGCGATCCCCTCTGCCGCTTCTCACAGCTGGGTGCGGAGGAGCAGTGCCTTAGGTGGTTCACCTGGGCCGGGCCGCTCAGAGTCGCTGGGTTAAGGCGCTGTATGTGGAGGTGGGGTCAGAGCAGGGAAATGGCCGCGCCCTCCACTGCCGCTTGCCGTGGGGACCTGCCAGCCCGGTCCAATCGCCCACTCCCTCGCCTGTCCACCCTCGCACAAATGCGCGACCTCAGTCAACACGCAGCCCCGGCCCGGCTGTCTCCCCCGTGGTCGCTCGCCTGGTTGCTCGCGCGGTTGCTCACTGGGTCCAACCCTGCGCCTGGATTCCGCACCTGAGCCCGTCTGACCGAGTTTTCCTGTGCAACCCTGCTCCGCCAGCCGCTGGTTTCACCCCTTACCGGTCAGGCTGAAGAATTTGTTGTTAACGGACTTCCGAAAAGTTCAATTTTCTGTGTTCTGGCTATGTTTTCTGTTGCTAATATTTAGTTTTCTCTAATCTTGGTTGTGTGAGAAGGCACGGCACATCCACCTATGCCTCCATCTTGGCGGAAGTCCTCATAATTTCTTAAACACAATTTTATGCATATTTAGACTTTTATTCTCCTATATAAATATTAATTTTATCTTGTTCCCAAAAATGTTTGTTGGCATCAAGATAAAAATTGCATTATGTTTATATATAATTTGTCTAGTTGACATTTATAGACCACTCCACCCAACACCAGCAGAACACACCTTATTTTCAAGGACATGGAATTTCACCAACATATACCATATCATGGATCATAAAAAGCTTTTAATACATTTAAACAAGTGGAAATTTAAAACACAAATTCTCAGATCATAATGGAATTAAACCAGAAATCAATAACAAGACAGTAATTAAAAAATCTCCAAAACCAAAAAATTAAGCAACATGAAATCAAAGAGAAAGTCTCAAGAGAAATTAGAAACTATTTTAATCTTCTTAAATTTATTGAGACTTTTCTTGTGGCCTAACATGTGGCCTATCCTAGAGAATGTCCCATGCACATTTGAAAAAAGTATATGTTTTGCTGCTTTGGGGTAAAATGCTCAGAAGATATCAATTAAATCCATATGTTCTAGTGAGTCATTTAAAGTTGTTTCCCTTTCGATTTTCTGTCTGGGAGATCTATTCAATGATGTCAATGGGGTATTAAAACTACCTACTATGACTGTATTACTATCCACCTGTCCCTTATGTCTATTGAGATTTGCTTTACATATTTGGGTGCTCCTATGTTGGGTGCATAAATGCTTAAAAGAGTTATAGCCTCTTGTTTGATTGATCCCTTTATCATTACATAATGTCTTTATTTCTCTACTATAGCCTTAGTTTTAAAGTTTAGTTTGTCTGATATTATTGCTACCCCAGCTTTTTTTTAACTAGAAAAATTTAATGACCTGGAATCATTTTTTTATTGTTGTTCTATTATAGTTGTCCCAATTTTCCTCTATTGCTCTCCCCTACCCTGCCCACCACCACCCCTGCCCCACCCACCATCACCCCCTGCCCCATTCCTACAGTCAATCTGCACCCGGTCGTCCATGCCCATGGATCCTTTTTACTTGTTCTTTAATTAGACACTTCCCCTTTTTTCCTCCTTAACCCCTCTCCCCCGACTCCTCTGGTCCCTGTCAGTTTGTTTCTTATTTCCATGCCTCTGGTTCTATTTTGCTCGTTTGTTTGTTTTGTTTGTTAGGTTCCTGTTGTAGATGAGATCGTATGGTATTTGCCTTTTGCCACCTGTCTTATTTCATGTAACACAGTACTCTCCACTTCCATCCATGCTGTTGCAAAAGGTAGTTCTTTCTTTCTGCTGTAGAGCCCAGCTTTTTTTTTTCTTTTCATTCCATTTGCATGAAATATCTTTTTCCATCCCTTTACTCTCAGTCTATGTGTATCTTTCATTCTGAGGTGGGTCTCTTGTAGACAGCATATAAGTATGGGTCTTGTTTTCTTGTCCATTCAGCTACCAGATACCTTTTGATTGGAGCATTTAAGCCTTTTACACTTAAAATGATTATTTTAAATAATATATATTATTAATTATGCTATTGCAGTTGTCCCATTTTTCCCTCTTTATTCCCCTCTGTCCTGCACACCCCCTCCTAACCACATCCCCCCCTTTAGTTCATATCCATGGGTCATACATGTAAGCTCTTTGGTTTCTACATTTCCTATACTATTCTTAACCTCCCCCTGTCTATTTTCTACCTACTATTTATGCTACTTATTCTCTCTACGTCTCCCCCATCTCTCCCCCTCCCACTCCCTTGCTGCTAACCCTCTATGTGATCTCCATTAAAATGATTATTGATAGGTATGTATTTATTGCCATTTTATTCTTTATAATTATGTTCCTTTTCTTTCTTTCTCTTCTTAAAGAAGTCCCTTTTTCATCCCTTATAATGCTGGTCTGGTAGTAATAAACTCCTTTAGCATTTTATTTTCTGAGAAGCTCTTTATTTCTCTCTTAATTTTAAATGATAGCCTTGCTGGATAGAGTAGTCTTGGTTGTAGGTCCTTCTTTTCATAACTTGGAATATTTCATGCCAATCCCTTCTGGCCTGAAACGTTTCTGTTGAGGAATTATCTGACAGTCTCATGGGATGTCCCTCTTAGGCTTACTGTCTTTCTATTGCTACTTTTAAGATTCTTTCTTTGTCTTTAACCTTTGGCATTTTAGTTATGATGTGTCTTGGCATGGGCCTCTTTGGGTTCATCTTGTTTGGACTCTCTGTGCTTCCTGGACTTGTGTGTGTTTTTCCTTCACCAAGTTAGAGAAGTTTTCAATCATTATTTCTTCAAATGGGTTCTTAATTCCTTCCTCCCTGTCTCTTCTAGTACCCCTATAATGTACACATTGTTATGTTTCATTTAATACCAGGGGTCACTTAGACTATACTAATTTTTTTTAATTCTTTTTTCTTTTTGCTGCTCTGATTGGCTGTCTCCTACTACCTTGTCTTCCAAATTACTAGTTTTATCCCTTGCTTCAACTAATCTACGTTTGGTTCCTTCTAGTATATTCTTAATTTTGAATATTATAATATTCATTTCTGCCTGTTTTTTTGTTTCTCTATGTCCCTTTTTATGCTTACTATCTCTTTGTTTATGCTCTCACTGAGTTCATCCATTCTTCCTGTAAGTTCCTTGAGCATCCTTATATACATTGTTTTGAGCTTTGTATCTGGTAGTTCGCTTGCCTCCATTTCATTTAGTTCCTTTTTTCTGAGGATTGCTCCTGTTCTTTTATTCAGGGCATGTTTCCTGTCTTCCCATTTTGGCTGTCTCTCTGTATTTTTTCCTGTGTATTAGGTAAATCTGCTATGACTCCTAGTCTTGGTAGGGATGCCTTATGTGATAGGTATCCTGGGGGGCTCAGTCACATAGTCACCCTTATCACTTTAGCAAGGTGCTCTAGAAATGTTCCCTATGTGGGTTATGTGAGCCTCCCTATTATAGTTGAGTCTTGATTGTTGTTGGCTCCTCCATGTGTGTATTTGACCTTTAGGCTGGCTGACAGTAAGGATCAACCCCAATCACAATGTATGAGCTCCTGTGTGGGTGTGGATCACATGAAGCAGAATTTGCCTTAGCAGGGTCTGGTGCCTGCATAAATTTCCCTTTAGATGTGCTACTTGTGGAGTTAATTGGGTTCTGTTTTGATGTGACCTAAAGCCCAGCACTGGGTGTCTTAGTTCTGGAGCATCTTGGGAGGTACTCCAGTGAAGTCAATGTCAGATGCTAACTGTGTCTGACCCTGGGCTACCTATATGTAGCTACAAAGCAATCCACAGTTTGTGGCTGCTTCCGCTTGGCTGGATGTGTGGAAGGGTCCAAGGTGGGCATCAAAGCTGGCTTCTCCAGCACTGAGCTCGAGAGCAAGTCAGCAAAAGGCCCAAGGCACCTCAGATTCACTTCTACTTGCCTCAGTATGGTGGCTGCCTGTTAGGCTCAGCCACTGAAAGATCCTTTTGTGGTACAAAATTATCTGATAGGTTCTCAGTGAGTCACCAGGTACTCAGTCTGATTATTGTTATGTGATGCTGGTAGGCAGGGAGAAGTGAAGGTGAGCTGCCTCCCAGGAGATAATTTTGTCCTTCTCATACCTTCCTACTAACATCACCCTCTTTATTTTTAATTAACGCTAATTGAAACCCTCCTATATGCCAGCTACTTGCATGGGTGCAAATGATACAGCAATGCATGGGTCCTGGCCTCTCTTAATGAGAACCCTTAGTTCTGGGAGGGTTCTTTACAGCTGAGATGCTTCCTCTGGTATGTCAGATTGATTGAAAACCACAGCAATCTCCACCACTCCCTATATCCGTTCTCTCCACAATATGGCTTTATAGCTCCTCCCATCAAAAGGTAGAGTCTATTCCCTGCCTCCTTGAATTGGGGCTGCCTTGTGATCTACATTGGCCAACAGGATTTAGCAGAAGTGATGCTTGTTCCAAAACTAAGACTCTACCTGCATATTTCTAGTTACTCTTTTGAACCCTGCCCAAACACTATGTGAATAAGCCAAGGCTAGCCTAAAAATGGCCCAGCCATCCCATTGTTCCAGCCCGGAGTCAGGCAAATGTCAGACATGGGAGTGAGGCTGTTCTAAACCAGCTAGATCCCCACCAGTCCACCAGCTGACCTCAAATACATGAACGAGCCCAGTTAAGATGAGCCAAGCCTGGCCAGACAAAAAAACACCCAGCTGACCTATAGACACATTAGCTATAATACATGGATACTGCTTTAAGCCACTGAGCATTGAGGTGGTTTTGTACACAGCAGTAGCTAATGAATACACCTGGGGTCGTTATCTACCTTTCCCAACAACTCTAGGATCTTCAAAGAAATTAGGCAGTCACTTTCCTTATCACACCAAGAATACACAGCTTTTAAATGACAGAAAAAATGGAATTCAATGCATATGAAAGAAAATGTTCCTTTCACTATAACACAGCTTCTGTATTCTGTTCTATGGTTGTTAGAAATCAGTCAACATGAAATGCATATGGTTTCACAAAACAGTATATACTGTGTGATTTCATTTATATGAAATTCTAGAATAGGCAAAACCAATCATCAGTGAAAGAAAGGAGACTATTGACTGCCTGGTGACAAGAAAGTGGGTTAGACTGCAAAGGAGAACTGGGGACTTGGAGGAGGAGGTAGAAATGTCCTATACCTTGTTTGAGTCATAGTTATCTAGGTATTTATATTTTTCAAAAGTCATCTCTACTCTTTAAGTGGGTGCATTTTATTGTGTAAGGATTATACCTCAATAAAGTTGATTGTTTTAAGTTAAAAAAACTTAGGTTTGTGAAACTATGGAGACAGGGAACCCTTAGGCACTACTGATGGGAATGTAAACTGGTGCATGCACTGTGGAAACGATATGAAGGTTACTTTATAAATTAAAAATAGAACTACCCTATGATCCAGCAATCCCACTTCTGGAAATTTATCCAAAGGAAATGAAAATGGGAAAGCAAGGGAATACCTGCACCTCCATGTTCACTGCAGCATTACTAACAATAGCCAAGATAAGGGAGTAATCTAAGTGTTCATCAATGGATGAATAGAGAAAGAAGATGTGGTACATATGTACAATGGATTATTATTTGTTCATGAGGTAGAAAAATCCTGCCATTTGCTATGACATGGTGGACCTTGAGGGCATTCCGCTACATGAAGTAAGCCAGACTGAGAAAGACAAATACTGCATGGCATCACTTATATGTGGAATCTAAACTTAAATTCATAAAAGCAGTAGAAAAGTGGTTGACTGGGAGTGAGGAAAATAGAGAGATGTTGGTAAGTGGGTACAAACTACAGTTATAAAATTAATAAAGTCTGAGAATCTAATGGAAAACGTGATGACTACAGTTGATAACACTGTATGGTATAATTGAAATTTGCTGAGAGTAAAACTTAAGTGTTTGCACACACAAAAGATAAATGTGTGTGTTATAGGTGTGGTAATTAAGTAGATAGGGAAATCTTTTACGATGTATACATATATAAATGAGGTACGTTTTAAGTAACTTACATTTTTTATATTATTTATACCTCAATAGAGCTGAAATTTAATTTTAAAAAACATCTTAGTAACTCTATACAGTCTTTTGGAAGTTGAGGGGGAAAACTTGAACGTGATGGCAGAGCTCTGATCTCCCGGGGCTCTTGTTAGGAGTGTCTTGGAAGAATCCTCTCCCCAATCCCTCCCATTTCCATGGTTGAGTGGTCCACAGGAAGCAGCTCTCAGACACTCCTATGTAAACTTGCCTAAGCTGCCCTCACAGATCCAGTGGTAGGGCCTCTGGCAGACGTCGTCATTCCACTTGCCATCAGGGTGGAAGTGAGCACAGTCCTCACCTCCACCCAGCCCGTGCCCATGCCAGTTGTCTGGTTGGCCTGGCTTCCAGTTCCTGAGGTGGGAGAGCAAGAGCAAGCTAGAAAGGTCAGATGGAACAGAATCCAGAACTGGGAAGAAGGGGCCATAGGTAAGATCCTCTGGGAGCAGAGCTAAAGGAGGAAAGGCACAGAAAGCAGGTGTACTCACTTGAAGTTGGTCTCATAGTCTGTTCCATCCACCCATTTCCAGACTCCTTCAGGATCACTGAGGCCCATCCAGGTGTATGAGTATCCTATATGTTGCTGGACAAAATCCTGGGACAATGGAATGACATTGGTCACCACTCCCTATTCCAGCCAACTCCTTGGATTACGTGTTCTAAATTTTACATTTATATTAAATCAGTTGAGGGGATTTGGGATGTTTATCCCAATGCACAGGCCAATTACTACCATGCACTGCTTAAGGACAGGGACAAGGAATCGTCATTATGTGAACATCACAAAGTGCACTTAGCAAACCTAGGCCATATGCTACAGCCTACTGCTCCTAGGCTATGAGTCTATGTGGGCATGTCACCGTATGAAACCACAGGAGATGAAGTCAAATACTAGAGAAAAGGATGCACTCAAGAGACACAAAAACACAAGATGTATGTGGCTGCTGCCAGCAAAACGTGGCATACTCTTTCACAGTTCTCACAAGTAGAAAAAGCACATTCTAAAATAATGATAAAAAGTATAGTATCATAAATACATAAATCAGTAATTATTATTACTTTCGAGTAGATTGTACTGTACGTAATTGTAAGTGCTGAATTTTATACGTAAACGACGGGCAATGAAGTAGGTGTGTTACACCAGCACCACCACAAACCCATGAGTAATGCTCTGCACTATGACATTTTCATGGCTACTGCTCACGACAGAGGAATTTTCCAGCTCTATTACAATCTTATGAGACAATTGTTCTATATTTGGTCAGTCCTTGACAGAAATGTCATTATGTGGCCCATGACTATAAATCTGTGAGGGAGGGTTCAGATGACAGTGTCTTTAAAACTCCTTTGGTGATGCCAATGTGCAGCCCCCACTGAGAACCATTTTCTTAAAGGGGCCACATCTTGGACTTGAGCACCAGAGCCCTCACCTGCTCCTGTCTAGAGTTGATGATCACCAGGTGTGCATTCGCCATCTGGCAGTACTTCTCAGCCTCCGGCCAGGGCCTCCCAGTACGAGAGAACCAATAGCAGCTGCTTTCATACTCTAGCCAGTTAACAGGGCAGCAGGTCTTCTGGGAACCTGAAGGGTGGGTGTAGGGAGGGTCTGAGATGCTGCCCAGTAGGACAAGGGTAGGAGATGGGGCTAGGCACTCCTCGCACTCCACTCACCATTGCTCTTGAGCACAGCCATTTGGCAACTCAGGGAGTTCAGGTCTCTGGCCAGCTCCTGGACTCGCATGACCATGTCAGAATAGCCTGGGACACACACAGAAGAACAGTGGGACACTCCAGGGGGTTCAACCTTGGACCCTAACTGTCCTCCCACCACATCAGACCCAGTGGAGGGGAGAAGGGGCCTGACCTGCTTTGAGTTCCTGCTGCTCTTTCTCCACCTTGCTCTCCAAAGAGAACACCTTGTCATTCAAGCTGTGAGCTGGAAGGGAGGGCACTCAGCACTCAGGCTGCTCCCACCCCACCTGTTTCCTGAGAGCCCCACCCCACCCTTGCACACACACTCCTGGAGGGTCTCTCACCTGCTTGCAGCTGCTGCCCCTGGCTTTCCACCTCTGCTTTCAGAGATGTTATCATTTCTTGCAAGAGGCCACCTGGAGGACATGGGGACTCAGTGCTCAGGATTCAGCTCCCACCCACCACACCCCCTCATCCCAGTCCAGAGCCCCTTCCAGCCAGGCTCACCCTGGGCATGCAGTGCCTGGACCTCTGCCTCAGTGTTTGAAGTGAAGTTGCTGTAAGTTGCTCTCAGGGTCTCCAGGTCCCTCTGAATCTTGGAACCTGATTGGGCAGACAGCACACTGAGTGCTAAGAGTCATCAGGTGCTTCCTGTACTGGCATCAAGTGGGGCACTTGACATGCATTGTCTCATTGGGTCCTCACTGCCACTCATCCCAAAGGTAAAGGCCCTGTTTTGTGCAAGCTTGCAGATGAGGAGAGTAAGGCTGGGAGAGGTTAAATAATTTCACTACATTACCCATTATCCACTATGATCATTATCAGTGCCCACATCATTGAACCCCAGTCACTATTGCCCCCATTACTGCCCACCCTGTGACCCTCACTTTGGGATCCAACCACACAGATGCCAACCAGCAGGAGGAGGCTGAGGCCCAGGAAGAGCAGGAAGAGGCGGGGTCCAGAGCAGAGGTGCTGCAGGAGGACCTGGGGCACAGGCAGCCCTGCAAGAGGAGAGGACTTTAGGACAAGGAGGACCAGGACAGGAGAGAGACAGGGGAGGAGGAGAGGCCACAGGGACCTGACAGGAGGAAGGCTGGTACAGGGAAAGCTGGGGGAGGCTGTGATGCAGGGGATGTCCAGGCCTCTGACCACTCATGGACCAGCACAGTCCTCAGTCACATGGGCCCTCACGTGCCTTGTGGCACCTGATGGTCTTATCACCAGGGCTGGTTTGGGGCAGGCAGATACAGAGAGTTGGGGCAGCCAGGCCCTCAGCAGGCTCACGCTTATCTGTATTGTCAGTTATCAAATGTTTCCTTTCTAAACATGACTATTCACTCCCCCAGTGCAAATGTTCAGCCCTGCACCAGAGAATGGTCCACCAGGCCTACTATGATCCTCCCTGGTCCAGTCTTTTTGAGAATCTTGTATCTTCTTCTGATGGGAATCTTGACCCCACTAGTGGGAACCCTAGCAGTGCACATGCTGTGCAGATGTGCTATGACAACAGGTCCTTCTAATCATATTATGAGGGTATTTTGGGAAACACCCTTCTCCTTCTTACCATTTCTAGTCCTCTGGCTATTCTTCTCACTCTCCAAGGACTGGAGGTCTTCATACTTCATTGACATGGTTGGACCCCCTGCAAGACTGTCAAAGCTGAAATGGAGGCAGGGCCAGGGCCAGGCTGGGGCTGAATTTTGGGGGACTGGGGAGGCTGGGACTATATTGGAGCTGAGGTCAGGGCTGGAGTTGAGGCAAGAGAAGTTCAGGTTGAGGATGAGCCAGGGAATAGGACTAGGAATGGAATTAGGCCTGGGTTTGCAGCTGAGGTCAGAAGTGAGGTCAGGACTGATCTTTGGGCCAGGGTAGGGTTAAGTGTTGGTGAAAGTAGAAGTGAAGTTAGAGCTAAATTTACTAGTAGAATGGGGCTATCGTTGGGGCTACAATTGAGGTTACATTTCCTCCTAGGACTGGGGTCAATACTCATGTTGATACCATGGATAGAGCCTGGCCTAACTTGGCCCTGAAGCTGGAAATAGAGCAGGCTGGAGGGTCACCTTGGGGTTGGGGATGGTATTAAGATTCATGTTGACTCGGGTTGAAGCTCTGGGTGGGAGTTAAAGAACAAGCTGGGGTTAGTATTAGAATTAGTGGTGTGGCCTGGCTGGGGGATGAGGATAGGGCTGGAAATGGGCTGGAGATGGAGCTGAGTGTGGTCTCAGTTTGTGACTGAGGTTTGGCTGTCATACCTAAAGCCAAATCCAGTAAATGAGTAGAATCTCTACTTGGTCATTAAATCTCCCAGCTGCCTTTTTGTATCTCTTCCTATTCATTTCACTTGAGGCCCACAGTCCCCTCTTCTGCTTTCTCCGACTCCCTCCCTCCCTGCCCCTTGGTCTCACCTGCATCCCCAGCCCAGTTACCTGTGCAAAATATGGAGGCTGTGATGCTTGGTTTTGTTGGGCAGCAATGAGTAGAGTTGGATAAAATGAAATCCTGGAGAGTGGAGTAGAGGTGACCAAGGGAGGAGTCACGTGAGTGCCTGGAATCCTGCTGGTCCCTGTGTCTGAAAGCTCAGGAGTCTATAATCTGGGATCTCTTGTGTCCTTGACTTTGGGCAGTAAATAATAATCAGAACTCAGGCAGATACTGCGTGTGTGAAGATGGTATATATGGGGCCAGCTTTGATCTCCTCCTCCAGGGTGTGTCTCCTCTCTTTTCATTTCTTTTCAGTTTTCTGACTTCCTCATTTTTATTACTTAGTAAATGTATCTGGATCAGAAGGGATCAAAGGTATAGTCTGTTTGTTCTTCTCTGTCCCACACCCTCTTTCACTTCCTGCATCTGAATTTTCTGGAATTGTTGGCATTTCCACCACTGAATGTGCAGGTCTGCCCTTATTCAGTCTTGTCTCGAGTCCTTGGCATCTGACCTTCCTCTCAAGCTTCAGCCATCACACTCCTCCTACTCTGACCTAGCTTCCCTTACCCAATCCAAGGGAGGAAAGAGGGGAAAGAGAGTAGGGTTCATGGCCACATTGGGAGGGGAGGGACTAGGGATTGGAACAAAATTTATTGAGCATCAAATTTATGATGGGGATTGTGCCAGACACATGCTGAAAATCAAACACTTAGTTCCTCCCAGAATCATGGGAGACACTCTAAATTATTAACATTATTGGAAAAGTAATTTTGACCTTGTGGATCCCTAACTAGGTCTCATGGACCTTAAGGAGGTCAATGTCAGAGAATGAGAGCCTTGGTATAAAATAACTAATATTTTATAATGACTGTTATTCAGGCATGTTGAAAAATTATTTTGTTAGTTCCATAAATTTTAGCTTAAATACTAGCTTAAATACTAGCTTAAATACTAGCTTATTGCATTTAAGTGTGTCATTATAGTGCCAAAGATCAGAGAAAATTATGTCAAAACAATTCATTGCATGTTTTCCTGCATGTATATATACCGACTTACACATTATATATTGAAAGTCAGTTAAAATGTATTTTAACTCATTAATGAGGAAGTCAATAGCATGGTAGAGCTAATAAAGGAGAATATATCATAAACAGAAATATTGTTAGAAGTAGAAAAAAATTACTGTAATACTATTCCTAAATTAGATGCAAAACTTACTCTACTGGGCAATAAACCTGTAATCTTTGCGTATTTTTTCCTGTCTAAAGGAAATTATTTGCATTGCTACTGGACAAGAATAATTTGCCTTGCTCTCAGTTTTATTACAGAGTTTTATCATATGCTAATTTATATTACATATAAGTTAAATGAAAGCATACTTCCCCTAAAGAGTTAGATGATTCTTGAGTGTGTCTTTTTTTTTTAAGATTCTATTTACTTATCTTTAGAGGGGAAGGAAAGAAGAGAGGGAGAGAGACATCAATGTATGGTTGCCTCTCATCTGTCCTCTGATGGGAACTGGCCTGCAACCCAGGCATGTGCCCTGACTGGGAATCGGACCGCGATCCTTTGCTTCGCAGGCCCGCACTCAATCCACTGAGCTACACCAGCCAGGGCTCAAGTGTGTCTCTTAGACAATTGTACGACAATTATAGACATACATTCTGTGTTTTGTCTATCTTTAAGTTTTGGATATTTCTTCTAAAAGTCCCTTGTAATCATAATCTCAAAACATTTTCCGTGATCACTAAAAAAGGCTGACTTATCCTGGTTCATTTTTTTTTATTATTCTTTTAATATTAAATTTTATTTAGTTACTTTTCAAGTACATTTTTTTTTAATCTATTTCTCCCATCCCACCCCACCCCCCCACCCGGTCTCCCCCCTCCCTCCCATTCCCCCCCCAGTCCTCATCTCTGTGTCTTTCATACTTGTTCCTCAAAATCCCTCCCCCTTTTTCCCCTTAAGTTCCCTTCCCTGGTTCATTTAAATAGGTCAAGGTTGAGGGGAGAGGAAGCAGAAGAGGCAGGAGAGATTCAGTGTGGGAGGAACCCAGTCTGTGGCTGCTGCCTTTGAAAATGGGGGGATTGAGGAATATTGGCAGCTTCCCAAAGCAAAGAGAAGCCCTCAACTCAGGAGGAAATGGGACCTGAATCTGATAGCAGCAATAAACTGAATTCTGCCAACAACTCAAGTGAGCAAACCTATTCTACCCTACAGACTACAGAAAGTTGCTCTACATGTTAGCCCAGAAACACCTATCTAAGGCTTCTGAAGTAAAGAACTAAAAGGTAGTAAGTTTGTGTTCCTGTAAGATGCTGAACATATGATAGTTTTTATAGCATCAGTAGGAAACTAATAGTTTCTAAACCATTTGTCCTCCGTAATTATAGGCCTGATTATACTATGAACTTATATGTGACCAGTGCTAGTAAAGAACTTACCATAAGACTAATTTTCACAAAATTCTGTTTTAGATATTATTACTTCCACTTCACAGATAACAAAACTGAAATCTAAAAAAGAAAAATAACTTTCTAAAAGCTGAGCAGCTGGAAAACTCTGTGACTAGTATTCAAAAAATAGGGCTTGAAATGAGATTACATTTTAAACCACTATAACCTACAATTATGTATTTGTATACACATATTCCCATATATAACTGCACATACCTATTACACCTACATAAATACATTTTTTAAAATTCTAAGTAATAATGATTTGTGGAATGTGAATTAGTTATTATGTTACAGTGCTTCTCCTAGTTTGAGTAAAAATGTATCTTGCTCTGAATATTTAAATAAATGTAAATTATTTTGCTTAACTCCTTTGAATACATTTGCCTTAAAAAGTTAGTAAACATTTTTACTGTATTTAAAGATAAACATTTACTATATAAATATTAAAACTATTACAGTAGAACTCCCAGAAACTTGGTTCTTCTTGTCGACGCAGTAAAGAATTACAGATCAGCAAGCCTACTAGCATGTAAGCAAAGTTTATTAGTGCTCAATTCTAATGGGAAAGCAAAAGCAGGGTGGCCAGAGGCTGGGTGGCCAAAAAATGAACAAACAAATAAAATAAATAGGTGAACATGAAGTAGCAATGAATGTAATGAGCTTCCTGTGGTGTGGCCAGCAAATCTAGAGCCATGTGGTATTATACTACCAAAATCTAGGAAAATTGTGTCTGAGGACAATTATAAAACTTCACTAAGATGTGATACAATTGTAAATAAGGCTCAAGATGAATGATCTTTACTGAAACAATTCGACACATTCACTGGTACCTAAGACTTGGGTATTTTAACAAAGATAATGAGAAACAATTTGCCTTCATGGAAAAGTGCAGCAGTGCACATTCCTTGTCTTACCTATGTCAAAGCTACTGTTCTGTATCACGATAGATGGGCTACGTCAGCTTTATGCCGACTCTACTGTTCTTTATCATGATATAGTCTGGAGGGCATCTGGGACTTGTAACACCTTGCTGTTGCACAAAATACATGGTACGATTATATATTAATACCATTATACTAATTTCACCAGACCAGGAAGAGAGAGCAAACAAGCACCCTTGATGTCTGTCAGACACAGGCATGCTGGAGCAGTGCCATAAACTCTGCCAACACTCAATGGTCTTGGGTCTGTCAGATTGCCCTTCAAATGTTAGGGCTGAGTTGCCACACTTTCACTGCCCCTCACAAGATGATATATGATACCATCTCTTTTGGAGACAATGGAAAGTCTGGGATCCAAGGCTGGAGGTGGGAGTGTTTCCTCTCACTTACAGATTTTTTGCTTCCTGTCTTGCATTCTCAGGTTCAGTTAGTTTGGGAACCATAGTGCCCAAGAAAAGAATGTTTCCATGAGGACATAATTATTGTTCCATAAAATTGATATCTAAGAATAATTCCTGTTCATTTAGGCTCCTTTTGCCACTGAACCAACAGCGAGCAGAGGAGACAGTTCTTCTGGAGAAAGAGATTGATACCAATGACCAGGGGAAAATGGCAGGGGGTTGTTACATTCTGGGGCAAGGAAGACTATATCTGAAACCCAGAGGAGTTACTGGAGTGGCTTTAATACTTCTATGACCAGAAATAATGGTAAGTGGCAAATAGTGGCAACAAAGGCAAGATAGGAACTGTAAGGGCTTGCGTTGAGTGAGGATGAAAGTTTGGTCAGCCCACCAAGTGAAAAACAACCCTGCTAAACCGAGCTTTCAGCAGAGGATAAAGGGACCATGGAAAGTGGGTGAAGGAAAGCAACTATGTATGCCTCACATCCAGCTACTGAAACAGACAGTAGAACTGTAGTTCATGCTAATTAAATCTCCCTGCCCCCCTGCTAACCCATTTGAAATGTACTTGTCAAGACTAGCATTACATTAAGATTCTAGCTGAGAGTGTGACTGATTAATCAGCATCACTTAATGGCACCTAAACCATGTGTTTTTACCCCATGCTGAGGACATGAATTTCTTCAGCCAAGTGAAGAACAAGAATAAATGCTGAATGGTGAAAACAGGGAACTGTGCTGGTTATTCTTTGGGTCTCTGTCCAGAAACACTCTCCAGTTTCTTCTGCCCTGCTGTGCTCCAAAACGCTGATCACTATGGACTGCATCATGATGATCCCCTTGCCACAGGACCTCCTTTTGGGTCCTTCCAGTGGAAGGTGGGCACTGGTAGGAGCTCAGAGGGCAGGAAAAGAGCATTGCTATGTACTGGTTCTCTTGCTTTTGTCTAGTTGTCATGGCTCTGGTGGAACTGCATTTAATGTTTCTTCTAGGTGGCCCTCTTCCATGCTCCAGGGC